GCGTGACGTAACGGTGTCGTCGATCCGGTTAAAAGCGGATTATACCAGTGAGCGAAGGGTCGTTGAACCCACTCGTTTGTTGCAACCAGTTGCAACAAAACAATGTGAAAGTATGCGTTTTGTTTTTTTTGTTTATTAATATTTTCTGGTTGGTGCGGGTTCGAGTCCCGTCTGCTGCCTGGTCCGCGTGGAATTTTTTCTAGATATATTTTCTTTAGATTTAAACATCAAGCAGTTACATGCTTTAAAATAAAAATAAAAATTATAATATTTTCTTATTATAATTTTGACGTAAGACTAAATAATGCTATTATCAGTGATATTCCAACAAAAAAAAATGACCTACGTTTAATGCTGTTAAAATATGTGACAATTCCAGCTAAATTACAAAAACATGAAAAATAAATGTTCATTTTTACCTCTCGGAGGAAATGGACACGTTTGAAAAGTAAGCATCGAATTCGATTCTTGGATATTGTTGTTTCGCATTAACTTAAGAAGACTGCTTCAGCTACCGCAATAATAATTTAATGAGTGATGTGCGTGAAAACCAAAGAAACAACCATGCAAAAATGTCAAATTGACATTGACGTTTTGACATTTTCAATCAAAGTCCATAAACAACTTGATGTCATCGTCATCTTCATGAATAACATTCGTCAACTATTTCAACAGGAAACAGGATACCTTAGCATTCACTTCGCACTTCGGTGTGTTTACAGTTTACGATTTAAACGGAATCGGTTCCCACAGATATTTTGATTGTTTCTCTGTAACTTTCACACGTTAGGATGTTTTTTTTTTATTTTTTTTTTATTAGTTATTAGTAATGACATAGCCAGGATACAAGTCCATAAAGCCGAACACATAGTACAAATACAAACTTAAATAAAATACAAACGTGAGATGCGTGAAACAGATTACTGACAACTTAAATTTTGACACTGACATTGACAGCGATAGAAAGATATTAAAGAAAGTAAACAATGGAATAAAAATAACCTAAAGAAAAACAATTAACATATTCGTTTGTTGTTGTCTTATTCTATATCTTAACTACAGTATTTACAATCTTATATATAAAACTAGAGGACCCGACAGACGTTGTCCTGTCTAGTATGGTCCCCGAAGATGCTATAAAGTTTAGAAAATCACTAAAAGCACACGCAAGGAGGAGCTCGATGGCGCAAGTGGTAAGCGCGTTCGACTGCGATCGTTGAAGTTAAGCAACTTTCGCAGTGGTCGGTCATTGGATGGGTGACCAAAAATTTACTATCTCGAGCTCCTCCGTGCTTCGGAAGGCATGTTAAGCCGTTGATCCCGGCTGCATCTGCAGTCGTTAGCACCCACCAATTCGCACTGGGCCCTCGTGGTGGGTCATGGCCCAATCTCCCTATTCCATCCATAAGGAAGGCCTGTGCCCCAGCAGTGGGGACATTAATAGGCTGATGATGATGAAAACTACACGCGATTTCCAGGCTCGAGATTCCTTTAGGATGTTGCCGTCCAAAGTGACGATATTTATTTAATAAGTACACAAAACAGATTCCATCGTATGATGGTAAAAAACAAGTTTGGTCTACAGTCATATAATTATGTGTACACGGCATGTTATACAGAAGTAATATTACAATTAAAACAAATACAAAATTATTTTCACACAAAGGCAAAACGTGGGTTCTAGAAATTTTCAAATGATGCTAATATAGATAGTGTTTGAGACCAAGTGTCAGCAAAAGTAAATCTAAAAAAAGTTAAAGGTCATCTGCGACCAAACGCATACTCAGGCATAAAAAGGAGTGAGGTGGGACATTTGTAAAAAAAAATACCCGTACACTCACCAGGGGAGAATGTTGGCGGGACTGACTTTTTGGTTACCCATCCAAAGCCTGGCCATTGTAAAAGTTGCTTACTTCCACGATAGCAGGCCGAACGCGCTAACCACCAGCGTCATCGAACCCCCTTTCAAGCTAATATTAAGGTCGATATATTTTTTGCGTTCAATTTATCCATTGATATATTCAGTACCTTATCTATCCTTTAATACCTTTCCAAGTTGCTTATCTATACGAGTTGATAAGTTAAGCTATCACGTTTATCTAGTTGATTCAATAAAACCCATTAATCGTATCTATGAGTGATTTTCAACAACAAGCAAACGCCTATGCTCATTTTAGCCAAGTAGAGCAAAGCCAAAGGCAAGGTTATAATTTCAGCTGTCTGTTTTGAACTGATAATTTCTTATGGGAGGGTAAACCGCTTAAAAAAACTTATGGGAGGGTAAACCTGTATTAAATAACAATCATAATATTTGTTTACGTTTTTATATCTTTATATATATAATTCTTCTGTGAGTGTGTATGTCACTGAACTTCTCTTAAACGACTGGACCGATTTTGATGAAATTTTTTGTGTGTGTTCAAGGGGATCTGAGAATGGTTTAGATTCACAAAGATGTGTAGACAGGACAACGTCTGTCGGGTCCGCTAGTTATATATAAAATTCTCGTGTAGCGGTGTTTGTGGTTAAACTCCTCCGAAACGGCTTTCCCGATTCTCATGAAATTTTGTGTGCATATTGGGTAGGTCTGAGAATCGGACAACATCTATTTTTCATCCCCCTAAATGTTAAGGGTAATCCAACCCTAAATTTTTTTTTCAATTTTAGATCAAAAAAATTTTTTTTTATGATACATCATACAAAAATACATACAACCCTAACTTTTCACCCTTCTACCACCAACCCCTATTTGCGGTACGAAGTCTGCTGGGTCAGCTAGTTTACTTATAATATTTAGACCCATATTATTGGTTGCTAGCATGCAAAAAGTAGTTTTTTCCAGCTATTTCGCAATTAAATTATTCACACGTCACATGTTTACAGTTATATTGCGTGCGGTAGCCGTCGCTTGAGCGGGCGGGAGGACATGCAAGTATGACAAAAATCCGGTCTGACGTGAAATCCGGGCGGAGTCTGGTCTAACACGTAAAAATTCAGCCTAGACCGACTTTATCCGGTCAGATGGTAACCCTTTTTTTTGACCCGGAGAAATGCCTTACCGCATACCCCGCCGCTAGGTAGGCGATGGGGTTATGTGAGACTCCCCCCACCTCCCGCCCACCCACTCAGCTAACCCTAGACTGGCTTATTGACTGCTCGGGTTGGGGGATCCTACCCACTAAAACTCCGGCATGTGATATCTCGAGCTCCTCCGTGCTTCAGAAGGCACGTTAAGCCGTTGGTCCAGGCTGCATCTGCAGTCATTAGCACCCACCAATCCGCACTGGGCCCTCGTGGTGGGTCATGGCCCAATCTCCCTATTCCATCCATAAGGAAGGACTGTGCCCCAGCAGTGGGGACATTAATAGGCTGATGATGATGAAAAGCACACGCGATTTCCAGGCTCGAGATTCCCATAGGATGTTGCCGTCCAAAGTAACGATATTTATTTATTAGGTACACAAAACAGATTGCATCGTAACATGGTATGATGGTAAAAAAAATCTAGGTCTACAACAATAATTATGTGTACACGACATGTTATGCAGAAGTAATATTAGAATAAAAATAATTACGAAAAAATGTTCTTTTTTTTAAGCATTTAACTGCTAGATGTTTAAATCTAAAGAAAAGTTTTACTAGAAAAAAATCCACGCGGACCAGACAGCGGACGGGACTCGAACCCGCACCCTTCGCAATCCGGGCGAATGCACCGACCAATTATGCTACCACGGCCCTGATGGCCGCGTCGAAATTTTCCTAGCCTTAAGCTGCAACGCAGTGCCATCTCTCCGCATTGTAGGTAACCCACAATGTCAAATGAATACTTTTTCAAATATTAAACATTTGAAAGAAGAAATAGCAATTATAGTTATGTGTATCTTTTTTTCTAGTAAAACTTTTCTTTAGAATTACAAAATTATTTTCACACAAAGGCAAAACGTGGGTTCTAGACATTTTCAAATGATGCTATATATATAGGAAACATGAATCTATTAAAACAATATCAGACGCAACATACCTAATTAAAGCATGCAACATACCTGAAGCGGGAAAAGTATAGATTTGATCTTGTTTTTAAAAGATAAAAAGTTCGTTTCACAAGTTTTCATTGCGTGCGGCACCCGTCGCTTGAGGGGGCGGAGCGAATAAGTAACTTATTAAGAGTTCCGCGCAATATGTACGTATCTCTGACAGATTGTTTAAAAGCTGTAAATGTGTGCGTGTGTAGCAACGATCGTATCTACCACATGTAGTAGATATTTTTTTCGGCTCTTCCGTGCAGTTAATACGGTATCTAGGCGTGTATATAATCAGAGAGCTCATTTTATACAGTCCGTTGACGGACTAAAGGTGCTGTCAATATCGGTTGCTGGTGCTGTAAGTGTGTTGTGCCGACTGCCTGTGTTCTCACGGACGCCGACGCACCGCGCGAGATTGACAAACGCATGAGAACTCTAATGTTTGAGATTTAGCAGTATCTATACATGATACGAGGTAAGTAGAAATCTCGCACACTTTGATATGAGATTTGAACAATGTTGATTGTTTGTGTCATGTACGCAAACCAAAAATATTATCACAAAGTAAATAAATGACCACTAAGGATCGACTCAGTAAGTACAGCTTCAATGTTGCTCAATGTTGTTTAATCACAAAGTGTACGAGATTTGTATTTACCTTGTATCATGTATAGAGACTGCTAAATTTCAAATGTTAGAGTTCTCTTACGTTTGGCAACCCTGCGCGTTGCGGCCGCGCCCGCGACAGCACAGGCCGTAGGTCAGCACCTTAACAGAGCTTCAGATCCTTTCCGTTGTATTCCTATATCAATACGTAAATTTATCATGTTTCTGCTATTGTCTCAAGAGTCGCAGAGCATAAAAATTACCTAATTAATATTAGAGTAAATTGAGATAAAAACTGAAATCAAAAGCAATGTCCTACTTTCACACAACCTTTTTTACCTGCATACTTAATAATTAATATAAATTATATAGCGCACGACTTAATGAGTTCACAAATCGATAAAGGACACAACTTCGTATATAATAAAACTATTATTTCAAAACTGAAATTCGCAAAAATCAGCTGACAGTTCCAAATCAAAAGGCTCCCAATAAAAGCCTTCACAAATTAATAAAGAGAAATGTTATGACATTAGCTCCTGAAACAAAAATACAAAATGGCGGATTTAATGAATAGATTAAAAAGAAATACGAAGAAGGAGAGGAACAGTGTATACTCTATGGTGTCTTCTAGTGACCTGACACCGGGAAGCTTGGAGATCTGGCTGGACCTTCCGGATGAAATCAAGTTCGATCCTTCCTTGGAGCCTTTCAAGAAGAAATATGAGCAGCAGCATGGTAAGTATATAGTGCGATATAAACTTAATAGCGGTATGAAGTTAGCAACTAGCGAAACAAATGCGCATGTTTCAGTTCAGTGACACCCCGCGGAAACGTACACCACCTTGCGTTTCGTTTACTGCACCGCCATTAGATTTGCTCTAACATTATAGCCGTCATTAATCTGAATCACACTTTACATTCATATTTTCGGATTTATAATAAAAAGACATTAATTATATTAATAAATAATCCTGATGTTAAGGTAACGAGAGGATTAAACTGTCGTAAAAAAAATATAATTACCTACATATTATAATCTTTGCCTTGTCGGCTTCCAAGCCTCTAGCTCGTGCAACTCGGGAATCTTACTTACCGAGAGAAACACAACATCATCAGAGGATGGTGTTACTTCACTGCAATATTACTGTAGCTGGTATTTACTTCCAATAGATAGCAACCTTTTTAGAATCTCGCAATAATGGCTACACATCCACTGGTGCTGAGTGTAAAAGTTACCGGTGTTAAAAATAAAGTTACCGAAAGTGAAAGTTACCGACGAAGAATTAAAAAAAATTGATGCATAAAGATAAATATCTGTAACTTCTAGAATAACTATAAAAAATCATGTAACAGATTTTGTAGGAATAAGATATGAATTAAAAGTAACATTATAAACGCACATTTGAGAGTTGATTAAACATGACAAAAAAGTAGTTTAATTGAATATGGATAAATTTCCTAAACATAAAATACTGTTACTATGCTGTGCCACAATGTAGCCAAATCTCAGCACAACATGAGCTTTTCATACGCTGCTAGACTGAAAATGTTTGCATTGTGCTGATAAATTCTTTTCCGTTTACAGGCAAACTTGGAACACCAGAGGTTCTGATCATAGATGAAGGAGACAAGTCTTTGTACGATAAGAAGATATCGGAAATACCAACAGTTGAAGAGAATGTGGAACAAAATCACGAAAACGCCCTCAGAGACTGCGGGAGCAGGTGAGAATATTATATAATGTTAATTAGATTTTTAAGGAAAGTAAAAGATGTGCCTAAGGGTCGTGGCCTGTGGTACCCTATGATGCTATTCTCAAAAAAAACAACAAGTTGGACTTTGTTATTCGATTCAGAAGGATCCTTACTTTTATTCACAGGAGAATAAATCTAAATAAATCATTGAGTGAGGTTGTCGGAACTTTTATAGCAAGCTTCCTACACCACGAAACAGATACAAACTAACTTGTAAATGGAAATATTTTGTACCAGCGAATACCTAGCCTGTGCTACTATGTTAAATAAATTTAGAGTGTTCCAATTTTGATAAAGTTGTAAATTGTTGTAAGGGAAAAGTAAAAAAATCGACTTGATCGATGAAACGAATGTACATAATGTTTTGTTTTAGTGGTCTTAAGATTTACATTAGCATTATTACCTTTTAAAGTTAATCCGGTTTAGGTACATTTCAGTAATCAGTAAGATGGTTTCAAAGTTTAAGGATAATAAAGAAATAAGGGCATATAAAAGTAAGTAAAGCAAAAAAATGTGAACAAGTGACACCTTTCATTTCTACTAAATCTGAATTGTTCATTGCCAATTTGTAGCGCTAAGTACTGTATTTTGTTTTAGGGTTCCGTACCTTAAAAGGAAATGCGGACCCCTTATAGGATCGCTTTTGTTGTTGCGTCTGTCAGTTTGTCTGTCAAGACCCATTATTACATCCATAAGATGTATCGAGTTAAAATTTAAACCATATACTCATATCCGCGGTCTCTTATCCCCATATCAATAAATGAAGACTACGCTTGGATTGGTTACTCCGTTTTGTCTCTGTTTATTGAATGACTTGAGTGACATGAACAAAACACGGCTTTACTAGTCTAAGCTTTTACCTTGTTTATTAATAAGGGGGTTATAGCTGTGAAAATAATAAAACTTTTAATGGCCGTTTATATTGCGTACTCACAAATTTGTACGAAATCCACGGTGGGCGAGCTCGACTAGCGCTTGTCCGGTTTTTTGCTATACGGCGCCAAGTCATACACTTAGCGGCTGCTTTCCATCAGACGAGTCATATGCCATTCAAGAATTTAAAGAACATTTAACTACCAGATTTTTTTATAATCACAGGTTGATGGAACATATCACAACTCCAGATGAGAAGAAAATACAATCGGCAAAGAAAAGAAACGTAAGTGAATTCTTAAAATAAGTCGTTTTTTGTCGCACTAATATCCGTAAATGGAATGCTCTGCCCGCTCACGTGTTCCCTCCCTGTTACAACCTGGGATCCTTTAAAAAAAGCGTGAAGAAGCAACATGCAGGCCGACAGGGTGAGGATGGCTGGTGTGGCAGGTAGAACTGCAGTAGCAGCTATCTTCGCGTCTGGACTTCACCGTCAGTACAGGAATAGATATAGACACCGTATCGAATACTTTTTTCAGGTCTAGAAAAATAGCTAGGGATTTCTTACCTTGTCAAGCTGTTCCGTAATAAGAGATGTTGTCTTCTGTACATGGTACAGTGGAGCTCTTTAATAAAATACTATATCCTTCGTTAAGAAGGAAACAACGAAGGTTTCATTTTTTAGTTTTGCTTTTCACTTCAAGTCAGTGTTGCCATCAAGTTTGAAAGAGTTGCCGTATTCGATACATCAGATTGCCGTATTTTTAAATAAAAATCATGATTTTGCCGTATTACCTAATTTTATTTATTAAATTTTATAGGTAATTAGTATTATTATACGGCAATGACAAACCTTCCGTATGCCGTATAATCTGAAATTATGAGCTCAAATTGCCGTATATTATGGTATTTGCCGTATCAATGGCAACGCTGCTTCAAGTCTTGACATCAGGTGGGGTGGAATCATTCTCAATCTTTAAAAAAATAAAATCAAGGGAGGCAGGGCAAAGCGAATTTTTCGCTCGAATTGGACCACCCGTCTGGGGAAGTAACATCCACCTTACAAGAAGAAAACAGTAAAATAACACTACCTTTTGGTGGTGTTGCGTTTCTGTTGGTGAGGTAAGTAGGGCTCCACGGGGTAGAGGATTGGGTCATACCCAACAGCGGAGTATGCGTCAAGCATTATCACTGGGCGTATAAAATTAAAAGAGGGTTTAACAACAAACGGTGCGGTGCTTGTTGCCAACCTTTAAACATAAAAAAATCTTACTTAAATATTCTAAGCGTTGTCTCTCCTCTTCTTAAGTTAATGGTACAATTGTCAAATTTACAAATAACAAATACGGATAGCCATGTGAAGTGCCAGCCATTAAAAGTTTCAAAATGTTGTTAATTCACTCTGAAACAGCAGGAAAAATATGCATTAAACATACCCGACCGCAAATAAACCAAGTCACCCACCACTAGTACCTTGGAACTCTCATTCGATTTTCTTAAAGTACATTGTGCTTACAACAAAAGTAGTATAAAAGTAACTTAGACGAAGTAATTGCTTAAAATAAAGACTCTTTCCAAAATAAAATGTGGTGATACGACGCGCACTTGGTCGGTTTTTATGATAATCTGACTGACGGACTAAGACTTTCGTCTCATTTACCTGGTCATCGTTCCTATTTCAAATGTTTGAAATTTTATAATTATTATTTTTGTTTCTTTTTCCAGTTACAGTTCTTTTTGCGCGTCATCAAGCTGTCAACTTTAATAGCCTGCTGGATGATACTGACTGTATCATTGATAATGAACCAGGAGAAATCAGATGTGGTCCTACACACTGCTGTCAAGGGTGGAGAGATGAAAGGTAAGTGAACATCGAAAACTCGAAATAATTCTAGTAGGATCAATAGTGCATTACCAAAGCATGCTCATGACCATGACGCACAACAAATTGATATTGATGATTTCTCTAACTCTCTTAAATATTTCAAAAATAATGTTAAAAAAATACAAGATTCGACGTAGGTAATCGCTAATATTTTTAAAACTATATCTTGTTTTCAATCCCAAATAAGTTTCACCAGTGCAAGTTTTAACTAAATCTTGGAGTGACAACTAGTTTTATCTGAAAATCAAATATGTCAGTGGTAAATTCTAGTTTTGACTAGTTATTTCTAGTTTTAACAAAGGCATTTAGTAAAAACTAATTTTAACTAAGGAAAACGCGTTCTATCTGAAAACAGGTCTTAACTGTAACATATATATGTAGACCCACCCATCCAACGACCGACCATTACAAAAGTTACTTAACTTCAACAATCGCAGGCCGAACACGCAAACCACCTGCGCTATCAAGTTTGCCATTAAGTATACATTATAGAAACTAAACACTCTCTTTTGTTATGTGGTTTCAGTCGGTATTTGTATATTTGACGTCATATTCAGTCATCTTTTTCCTCACAAGCATGCAGATGATCTCATAATTTCAACACGAGAAATAAACAAAGGCATTGTCATTCGAAACATTAGGATTCATCACATCTGCAATAGGGTTGATGATAAAGTTTTTTTATATATTTTTTTGTTTTATTTTCTTGGTGTATTAGGTTCAAAGATTATAAAAAAATATTGGACATTATATTGTTTTGAAATGTCGCACTGGTACAATTTTTACCTAGAAGTGACGTCACAAGCCCGCAATCCCAAACTTTGACTCCCTTTGAAATTTTTTTGATACTTTACCCAGCTATCATTTCTATTCATTTGTAAGCCATAAAGCTTTTGAGGATACCAAAAATATATAACAAATTGGCCATAAATAACATACATTCAAGTGTTATTAAGATATTTTCTAAAAAGAAATGGAAATCCCAAGTATATGACTTTTATTACATAATAAAAATTTAGATACACACGAGATTTATACTCATTCGAATACATAAATTTTCTTAATTCTTTGTAGGTTCCTATATATTTCTTTCTTAGGTTTTCACGCACATCACTCATTAAATAAAACAAGTTTCAACGGGTTAGATGCACTGATTTTATTTATTTATTGACGTTTATTTTATTTTTTTTATTTTATTGACAAAGATTCACCAACAACATATAATTTTACATTACAATTTGAAAAAATATATAAATACCATACTTAAAGATATGCTTTTTAATAGGTGAATACAACATTCACATAAATACAAATAAACTACAATGACAGATTAAACAAACAAAAAAATATATACACCATCGTGAAAAACAGGTATACTGAATCATAATATTATTTAGTCTGTGTTACGGTCTAATTTTATTTTTTCCACAAACAACCTCTTATATACTCGCTCAGTATTGTGGAAAATGTCGACACTGCAGTCTTGTAAATCATTGTAGGTACGCATACACCGGTATAGAGGAGCACACTCACCAAGTCTAGTATTGTTGCGAGGGAGATCAAAGCTTTTTGACATCGGATGTCTAGGTATTCGATAAGGGACTTTAATATTCACCTGTTTAATTAGATTTGTACAAATCAATTTTCCATTGATAAGCTTATGAAGTGTCATAAGATCAGATAGTCTGCGTCGGTCAGCCAATGGCGTCATTTTGAAGTGAAGGAGACGAGTATTGTAATCAGCATCCCGGGGAAAATCGCGACTACGATAAGCTAGGTAACGGGTAAATTTTCTCTGAACGCGTTCTATCCTATGGGAATGCACTTTATAGATGGGGTTCCATATGTTTGAAGCATACTCCAACTTACTGCGAACGAGAGCATTGAATATGGTTTTAAGGGTATCAATGTTTTTAAAATCCTTGCTGACACGTTTTACCAAACCGAGCATTTTCCAAGACTGTGTTACAACACTATCAATATGATCTACAAAATTCAATTTTGAATCCAATAACACCCCAAGGTCACGGATATTGGACGATTCTTTTAATCTATGGTCAGAAACACTATAATAAGATGCAAAAGGAGTCTCTTTTCTTGTAAATTTTATATGAGTGCATTTTTGCGGATTAAGTTTCATCTTATTAGCATTACACCACCCAACCACCGCATCGATATCCCTCTGCAACAGGGAAGAGTCTTCCTGATTGTTTACAACTCTGTATAGTTTTAAGCCGTCAGCAAAAATCGAAAATTTGCTATATTTGATGGAAACAGATATATCATTAATAAACGCCAAGAAAAGTATCGGTCCGAGGTGGGAGCCTTGAGGCACACCTGAAATTGAGACATAATCATCTGATTTATATCCATGTACCGTTACGCTTTGGATTCTGTCTTTTAAGTACGAACTTATCCACCGCAAAAGGTCACCATGAATACCGTAAGCTTTCAGTTTTGATAGAAGTATCCCATGGTCTACTTTGTCAAATGCACTGGAAAGATCGGTGTATACAGAATCTACTTGCAAACGACCATCAACTGACTTAATTAGTTCCGTTGTATAATCCATCAAATTACTGACAGTCGATTTACCACTACAAAATCCATGTTGAGAATCTGTTATAAAGTTTTTGAAATAATTTGTTAGAGTGGGATAAATAATACTTTCGCAAATTGACTTATGATTGACACGGGTCGGTAATTAGTTACATCCTCTTTATTGCCTTTTTTGAATATTGGTATAACATGAGAACGCTTCCACTCAGAGGGGAATATACCTGATGTGACAGATTTTTCAAAAATAAGTTTAAGAGGAAGTGCCAAAAACTTTGAAGTTCTCTTGATAAATAGGGGGGGAATCCCATCTGGCCCGGCTCCCTTACTAGCATCAATAGATTTAAGAACATTGTAAACCTGCTGTTCGGTTACTTCTACACTATTAAGAATGTTTTGAGGATATTGATCACCAAGATCAACAAACTCAGAATTATCTGGCAAGGAAAACACTGATGAGAAGTGTGCCGCAAAAAGATTACATATTCCCACACCATTGTCTGCAATTTTATCTCCTAAGTGCATCTGTTCAGGAACACCATCATAATTACCCTTAGTATGACGTACAAAAGACCAGAATTTCTTGGGGGTGTGCTTTATTGACATTTCTATATCCTTGACGTACTCTTTATAGCATGTCGACATAATAGACCTTACGCGGTGACTGCAAAGTCGCAGCTCCAAACGATCCCTAGGGTTTTTATAAGTTTTATACTTTATACGTATTTTATGTTTCTCTCTTATCATTCTTATTAAACTACGAGTAAACCAGACCGGGTACTTAAGATTCCGTGCATGTGTCTTGGGTATACTTTCTTCGATGGTTTGTTGAATGATGGCATAAAACCTAGTTACTGCAGCGTCTACATCCTGCACTTGACCCAATTCCGCTAGCCAGTGAATTTTACTTAGCTTTAAATTAACATCATTATAATCAGCTTTTTTGAAATTGTATGTGGCAAACATTTTACTTTTTAAGAAATGGTGAGACTGTAAAGGTACATTGATACTTATTTCTAAGGCTGGATGATGTCTATCAAGCCTACTGAGTGGACATTGACATTCTGTAACACTCAAATCATTAAAATTACCCAAAACCAAATCGAGAGTCTTGTTATTATAGTTTTTCACATTGTTAAACTGAAATAAATTGTTTAGAGACAAAAAATCAATTAATTGATATCCTAAGTTACAAGAATAATTAGAAGGAACCAAGACACTATTACTTGTATTATCATTACCCCAATTTATAAAACTTAAATTAAAATCGCCTAAGATAACAGTATAACCAGGACATGATTGCATTACAACGCTACAATTGTCGAGGAAGACATCCAATACATTAGCCGTTACGGGAGGCGGTAACTAGACTGCACAAAATATATTTCTTCTTCTTCTTTCTTCTAAAGTACTCTCAAAGTGATCTATTCGTTTAGAACTATGGGATTTCGAAACGGCTATAAGGACACCTCCACCACGTTTACCAGCTAAGCATGTTGAATTACGGTCACGTCTATAAACATGATAGTTCGCTCCAAATAATTCATTATCGTGTATCGTATCATCCAACCATGTCTCGGTTCCAACAATAATGTCATAGTTATCAAGAAAAGAAGACAATTTGATATCATTGGTCTTAGTCTTCATACCTCTAAAATTTTGATAGTAAAGATTGAATTTTTTAACTTAATTACGGTCAGAAAGCAATAGGGCACAAACAGAAAAAAAAAAATTATAAACCAGCTAAAGAGTCGTAGTTCTTGATAAGTTTAGCAGGAGCCTTATCATCCTTCCGTACGAATATTCTTCCGTTGCGTATCCAAACAAATTTGTAATTCTTTTCATGTGCTATTTTTCTTGTAGTTGCATGCAACGCCTTATTATATGGGGAAAGATGTTCAGATACGTAGACTGGTGACCTTTTACCACCATATCCCAATGATGAAGTGTTAAGTTTGTCATCTTGATTATCTTTATTAAATTTTGATACAGCAGCCAATATTTCATCTCGCTTCCTGGTGGTTTGTAGTTTTACTACAATTGATCGGGGCCTATCATTATCTTCTTTCATCTTTCTGACTCTGGTAGTGGTGAGAACATCTGTTTCTGGCAATGGAACAGAAACTACAGAGCACAATTGACTGACAATCGTCAGCAAATTTTCAGTTTTGTTTTCAGGAACGCCATTGATCTCGATATTCGTTTCACGAGAATACTGTTCAATGAGATTCAGTCTACTTGTAAGATCATCCACTGTTCTCGTCAGAGATGCATTTTCTTTATTTATCAAATTCACCTTCTCTTCAGAGGCCTTCAAATCAGACTTTACGCGGTCATATTCGGCACTAAGGAACTCCACACTGCTTTGCAAATCCCGCAAAGCGGCTAACTCCTTCTTGATTTCATTGAATTCCTTTGTA